CTTTTTTTTTTTTTTTTTTTTTTTTAGACAGCTTATCAAAGCAATAATTAATTCGGCCAAATTTAGAAAAAAAAAGGCGAAAAGTAATGTCAAATTTTTGTTAAATTCTTCAGTTCAATACACATGTTTCTTTTGATTGTTACCAATTGCTAATACACCTAATAGCATAGCTTCATTTTCTTTTGATCCAAATTATCAAAGGTTAAACATAAACGTATCCCGAATATAGCTTTACAAGGAAGTTTTTTTTTTGTTTTGACGGTGCATATTTTTCATTTAGCAATAAAACTGAAAGAGAAAGAGAAAAAAAAACAGTTGGCAACATACATAGTGGAAATAATTGTTGCATAATTGGTTTTGTACTTGTTGCCAATACATCTAAACCGTTCTTCTCCACAGCATCTTTGTTCTTCTCAACCCAGCTGTCAATGTTGTAGGATACCATACCGGCGTAATGTATTATAGTAAAATGTGATACCGTTGTACTTCTGAAAAAGAAAAAATATAGAAGACAAATAAACTCAGTCACTTAATTTAGTCAAATTAAGAGTTAATTATAGAAGTATTCTAAATATGCAAATATTATTGCTGCTTCTGCTGCAGTTGCAGTATCACTGCTATCAGTGAGAGTAAAATTTTTAGAAGAAGAAAAAGGAAAAATTTAATGGCAGTTTTATAACGCTAAATTAAAGCGGAATAAAATAAAAAATACGATTAAATAGTGACAATTAAGTTTAACAAATCAGCAAAAAAAACGACTATGTTGCTGTTTTTTCAGCTTTTCAGTAAACTGTAAATAGGAAAGGAAGAAAAAATTTTCTCATTTGAATACTCATTTGCAGTAACAGATTTTATTAGAGAAAAAATTTTTTCAATTGACTATTATGAAACGGACTTAGTGTAAAATTGTCGTTGGAAATATTAAAAAGTGTCATAGAAAATTGTCGCTATATGCAACTGCTCTTTTTCTGTTTTCAACTCTTTTTTTTTCGTTTTCCCCGCTGCTGTCTAAAGATATGTCTTGAGATATACCATTTTTTCTGTTCTTTTCAAATCTTAATTGCCACTTGTTGAAAACCAATAAAAAAAAAATTTATGATTATTTTTAAAATAGTTTGTAATTAATCAGTTTCTTCAGTTATTTGTTTATTTGTTGTTTCGGTAATGATACTTATCTTCTTAATTTTTTTCTCCCGTAGCAACAGTACGATTTCATATTGACCAAAATATACCGGTCAGTAATTAGAAGTGGTAATTGTTCAAAAAAAAAAAAAGTTGCCTGTATCGCTGGTTGCATCTAATTGATCTTCTAATTGACTTTCAATAATTTCTACAACTCTGGCATACATCTTTTTTGACTCTTTTTTTTTAATTGATCAGAAAGCAAAAAAGAAGCTAATCAAAATATTGTGGGTAAACAAACCGTGCAGTATGTTTTGATCTTGCAAAAACTGGATTTGCCGAATGATTGGTGATCAGTTTTTCCAATAACGACATATCACTACCGTTGGGTACCAGACATTCTTCTTGCAACAACGAAAGTAAACCAAGTGGCTAAATTGTGCTTATACATATTCCAAGTGTAATTGTCAAAGTGTATTTCAATTTGTACCAAAAAAAAGCTCAAAGTATTAATTATCACTAAAAAAAAAAATAAAATAAACTATCAAAGTTTACAAAGAAAACTTTTTTTTCGTATTTGATTTTGTATAGCATAAAGTAAAGTTGAATAAGCCGGTAAGCATTAATAAAAAGAAAGCATTAACATACTTTCTCGATCAGCTCAATTGTATTCTGCATATCAGTGCCATAGCTTACTTCAGTCCAGTCAATACCTTCACGTAGATATTCTTTTTGTTCTTTGATAAACATAAAATCGTTGAAAAATTGTTGCAATTTTTCGTTGGTATAATTTATGCAAAATTGTTCAAAACTATTTTTCTGAAATGAATTTTGCTTCAGTGACAGTATATTCTTTTTGCCAGATACAGATTGAAATGAAGTCAAAGTTAACAATTGCATCAAGACCATCATAAAGTTACCAAATAATTAATAGAAGGTAGAAAAGTGAAGAAAACAGCAAACAAAAAAAACCACACAACAATTGTCTGTAGAAAAAAAATAATCAAAAAATTTTTTACTTAACAAAATTACCTGCATAATTTCAAATCCGGCCATATCAAGAACTCCAATATACAGCGATCGTTGTGACATGTCGGCTAAAAATTTAATCCAGTTATTTCAGGATGACTGTTTGCCAATATTTGTTGATAAATAGCTGACTAGATAAGTGTGAGCGAAAGCAAGCAAAAAAAAGAGGTAAAAAAAAAAAGAGAAAAAAAAGACAAGGAAATTAAGAATTGAATGGATTTGGTGAAACTGCATTTGTAAAGAAAAGAGAAATTGTTGCGAAAAAAGGTAGTCAAAAACTAAAGCAGGATTTTCAAGTATTATAACAGACCTTATAAACAAGAACATTATTTGTTTTATCTCATTTTTCATCTAGCAACTGATGTCTCAAGTTTTTTTTTACTCTAACTTTTTACTGTTTATTTCCGTTTTTGCTTTTTTCACTTTTGCTGTAAATAACAGTAATTGTATCAGAAGCAGTATCAGAAGTTTCTGCATTCTTTTTTTCTTTTTACCATTGTGTACAGTTAACTGTCTTATGCGATTTAATGACTTTTGGTGTTGTTGTCACTATTTTCTTCGTCTTCACTCACCAAATCTAACTGAAGCATTCTTCCTAAAAGATACTGAAAAAGATACTGTGTACCTTTTAATGCCTGTAATTGTGTCCAACAATTTTCTCTTGTAATTTCTTACAATCTATATGCTTTATGTCTTTCAAATTAGTAAAATTGTGAAAGAAAACAAAAACACATAAACAAAATTGTCTTGTCATCAACGCTGCACTTTTTTTGGAAGTTTAGAGAGGAGGAAAAGAGAAGACATAATAAAAATGTTGATTGTTTGTTGTAAAGATATAAGGTTTTAAAAGTTGGATTGTTTTTTGGGTTAAATGCGGTCAATATAAAAAAAAAAAAAAACAAACAAAAGTTTTTAGTCTTTTTTATTCATGTTTTTTTTTTTGCAAAAATACTTGGAAAAATTAGGATTACAAAAGAAATGCATACAATTTGAAGTTTGTCCCAATGACTCGTTGCAACGTTGCAGAATCCAACTGAATAAACGGTCGTAAATACATTTGCATAGTGCAGCTAATGAGCTCAGTGTCTAAAAATAAACGCTGAAAAAATGAAGACCAAAATAAAACTTTTATTTTTAGTATTAAACAAGTCAAATCTTTTATACTCAGTTATCAAAAATAAAAATTACTTGATAAAAAAATTAAAGAAATAAAGCATTGAAACGGATTAATTTGACATTTTTTCGCCACTTTTTTGTTTGAGTCAAAGTTGTTTGATGATTGCTAACGGTTACCCTCCCCAAAAAAAAAACTATTAGCTATTTTTTATTAAACTTTCAGTTCAGTAATCTTTGATTAGACTAAACTAGAGAAAAGAAAGGTTTTTTTTCAATCTTTTTCCATAATTGTCTTAGAGTTATTTGAAAGCTACAATTCTTTATACTGTAAAACAACATTGTTTTTTTATCAACTTTAAACTTCAATTAATTTTTTTTTGTAACTTTAAAATGTTGTTCAATTTGTTTTTATTTTGTCTTAAAATTAGAAAGAAAATTTTTTTTTCTTCTTTCAAAACATTTAGGTAACAACGAATGAAATAAAACAACTGTTGCCAAGAGTTTGCTCATATATTTTTTTTTCCTCTTTAATAGCTGCTTAAAAGTACAGCTTCTGGTCTATTGCATAAAAAACTGTCATTCAACAATGCAGTTTCTGCCTCCCCTCCCCTATCCATTCCCTCTCATCTCAGCAGCTTCTTCAGCATATATCCGACTTCAGCAACAAGAAATTTGAAAAGGCTTATAAACCAAGAAGAATGAAGTAAAGATAATTGCTGATGCATAAGTTTGGTATATAAGTTAACAAAATTTGATGATGACGAAGATAAAACAAATCCACTGGTAAGTGATCTACTTTTCTCAAATTTTGACTTTTCTTTATCGACATCTCGCCAACTCGTATCGCCGGCTGTGTTAACGCATCAACCAGTAGACTTGTTTTAACGCCCAATATACGACAGGCTGCTTCAACCTCTAAACAACAGAAACAACAGCGATAACAGTATCCAAATTGATCATTTACGTCTTTAATTGAAAGGCACTGAACACTAATGAAACCAGTAACCAATCTACAGATCAGGAAAATTTTAGATTGTTTCAATTCAAGCACGCTTATTCACAGTGCAAAAAACTAATCTATACTCATACCAAACGAAGCCAACACCATAGCAGTTTCAACTTTTTTTGCAGAAAAAAAATTTAACTTGTAATTTAATATATCAAGGTTTTTATGATGTTTATGCGAGTAACTTGGCAAATTATCTTTCTGGTAATACTGCTTATAGTGCAGAAAAAATAAACCATAGTAACAGTATACCTTTTTCACCATCAACATAAGTAATATCCAAGCCAGTTCGTTCATTAAATTTAATTTCGCCCAACAATAAACATGAAGCAACAATTTCATAAATTTCTTGCCTTTCTTCTGACGTAAATCCAATTGTTCGTAATGCTTTCTAAAGCAAGAAAAAAAATTGACCAGTAGTTTGATAAATTGAATCAAATTTTTCTAACAAGTAATACATTGGTATTTTTTTTTCGTTACACTGAATTCAACTTCCGTTTGCATACTTACGATCATCAAATACAGTGATAAAGATAATATCAAAAAACAAAACAAAAAAGAAAAAGGAACACTGTTAACAGCAATAAAATCTTTTATTGAATAAATAGAAACAATGAATGATAGCAACAAAGAAAAAAAAAACAAAACCTCAGTTTCCACAGCATCTGTTGAATCATCAATATTTGCATCAACTGTTTTATTACCCTGATTTAGAAATCTGTATTGGTTAGCTTTGTTTGTTAGACCCATTTGTTGAAGCAAAATATTATCAAAACCATTTGAAAGCATTTGATAGAAGATGTGAAAATTTCGATCACCATCGTTCTGATTAACAACACGTGATTTTTCCAGTAAATCTGAAACAGTTTTGTTTGATATTTTAGAATGGTTTTGCAAAAACCAAACTGTTCAACAATCCTTCTATCTTCTTTTTGCCAGAATACGAGTAAAAGGCAAAAAAAAAAAATTGTAAGTCTACCAAACAGTTTTGTTAGCTGATAATTCTGATAAACAGTTAAAATTTATTGATACTGTTTTGTGTAACGAAATTATAGCATTGCAATATCGAACAAAAATCACTTGAGATAAGTCACTTACAACACTGAATTTGGGCTCCTTTTAACTGCATTTCATCGTTGAAAAACATCCTGATAAATTTACCCTAAATTAACGTTTACTTTTTACATTTCTTTCAGTATTTTTTCTTCAACCTTTTTCTCTACTTTTTTAATCTCATTTTTCTACTTTTTTTTTTTTACTTTTCCTACTCTATTTTTTTTCACAATCTTTTACCGCTGTAATTTTTAAATTGAAATGAAAAAAGTAGTTTTTTTTGGCAAAAATTTTATGATAAAGAAGAAATAAGAAAACAGAATAGTAAACAACGACAGCAGCAAAAAAAAAAGGCATGTGTAATTTTGCTCTTATTTAGAAACATTTCCCCACTCTTTTTTCTACTGTTCTTTCATCAAAACGGTTATAGGTTGTTTATTTTCTAATTTGCTGCCACAGAAAAGTAATTTATAATTTATGCAGTCTAATTATGCAGCAGTAACAAAAAAATTGTTGTTAATGTAGAACAGTTTTATTTATTTATTCACTTTTTCTATTTGAAAAATTAAAAAAAATATATAAGAAGGAAGAATGTTGAAAGAAGAATGTGCTGAATAAATGGAAGAAAGGCCGTATTCTGATGACTCAAAGGCAGATTTATAAAGTATTTTGAGTTTTATAGCTTACCAATTTACCGAACAAAAACTCATTCATCAAACAAACCAAAAAAACAAAGGAACTTGTAATTCAAGAAAAAGACTGGAAATTTCTAAATATATAAATTTTCCTACAGTGACCTGTCGATA